GGGTGTACTAGTCTACTTATGCACCGGACTAATAGTCCAATATCCTTGATTTTAGCACATGAAACTGGAAAATTGGCAACGCTGTACAGCCTAAACGAGGGGTCACTTCAAGTTGAAACTTTGCATGGAAGTTTGCCTTACCATAGGCTTTCATTTGAGCATTGTCCGGTTGACCAACTCGGGTATAAAAAAAGGGGCTAAAAAACACCACTTTTTGGAGAGGCTCTTTACAGGATATCTGCAGTGCGTCTCAAAGCGAGTATGTCGTTTCATATTTCTATCATTATCCTTCATTACAAAGGCCACATAGGGTGAGGATTGCCATCTCACTCCTTTCTGAAAAAACTCCCGTCCATGAATTCGCTGGGAATATAATTCCGGCCGTGGAAGCCGGACTTACGGACTACATAGACATACCGTCCGCGTTCCGGGCTCAGAGGCCGAAATTTCCGGGCGTAGCATCCAAAGCAATCGAAGCTATGGCTACAGCCATGGCCCCTGAGTCCGGTATGTCTATGTAACCCGTGACTTTTTTTCAGTATTTTAAAACAGTCAAAAAATTCACGAAGCTTCATTTTGATCTATTAAGAGAGTGGTAAGTGTACACAAACCTATCGAGATGAATGCTCTGGTCAGTACCGGAGCCTTTGAGGGTGACCATGCGGCCGTCGGTGGTGACCAAACCGGCCTGAGCTTTGGCATCGGGGAGCCCGGAGCGAGACTGCGAGATCCCTGTCACCCATTGGATACCGTTGTCAGCGTAGAGGAACTCCACGAACGACTCCACCCCATTCGTCGAAATGCAAATCTGGTAGGTGTTCACCTGCAATCCATTAAATTAGGTAAAACCTCCTCACCGAAAAAAAAAAATACTGATTTAACATTCTGGATGTTGAGAACTCACAAAACACTGCATTCACCGCCGCAGAAGTTAGTTTTTCATCTTGGCATTGCTGAAGTAATTGCTGTAGCGGTTGATTCAGCGTTTTGTGAGTTCTCGCACACTTTTTTACACCCAGCATGTTAAATGAATCACTAAATACAAAAAGGGCACATGTCCACCGAACGATAATCGATAATATCAATCGATAAATGCACGATTTCTGGATCTGAGTAAATTTTTTATGAATTTACGAGCATCCCATCATGCTGTCATGTCCAGTGAATATCGCAAAGCCTGTAAATCGAAAAGCAACACGATTTGCGATATTTACTCGGGCCACTTACGTTTGTAGTTAATTTAAAGTGTTTCTCGGTTACAAATGCGTACTACTTAGGTCATATGTACCATTGTGCACACGTACCTGACGGAATACACGTCTACTTCTCTAATTAACATAAAATTTCGACCACTTTGTCTCACTATGTACAAGCTGAAAGAACTCAGACTGCTAAAAAATTTGCACTTCTGTAGTCTGATCGAGAGATTATTATTGACTTTGGCGGGAGTTAAATTTTCATAGTGTAAGCAAAATACATGGTAGAAAACAAATTAGGAAGTTGCTTACTAACAGAAATCCTGTAGACCGATTCTAATTATTGCCGTATTCTTCAGTTCCTGAACTGATAAACATACCTCAAGGAATGCAAAATTACAGTTAATGATGATTGATTTTTTCTCTAATCAAATAAACGTGTAGATACAAATTACTAAAAGCATTGGTTATAAAAAATAATTATCAACAAAAAAAAAAAAAAACACGAGAGTAAGGAGGGGAGACCGATAACCTAGTGTTCATTTTAATATGAGACAAATAAGTGGTGTATCGTTGATTATGCTTACAATGTTCTGACCGGTTGATAAAATGTATTATCATTGTGAAAGCAAATTCAAACCGCACCTATCTGATTACCTACATTTTTGGTGACCTTTATGAGGTGCAGTTTTTTGGACTCGCCTTAATTTAGATCGGGCACCGGAAAGTAATTTTTATCACGGGCAATTCTTACGTCCATTTCTTCTCATATTTGTGACGCAATAAAAAAGAGCCCAATACATCATCGAAAGTAGGCCAGTTGTGAGCTTTTATCGGCCAAGTCTGTATGGTTTTTTGGAGACGTTTGTTGATTCCTTTTTTGATGATTATACAGCATCAATTTTTTGTAGTTTCAAATCGTAGGACATAGGCGGATCCAGGGAGGGGCGTAGGGGGCTTACCCCTCCCCCGTTCACCGGAAATAGGGATCGATACCTTCCTCAAGAATTTTTACCTTCCTATCATAAAATATGAGGAATGTTACAGTTTATTCGGCATTCGTGTAGGAACTGAAATGGTCAAAAACGAGTTCAAAAAGGTTACCTTATCCCTTCCGCTGTCGTAGTAGCCGACTCTGAGCCAGGTGGTGATGAAGGCGCTGGTGGCCTGGTAGTCGCGGGCTGTGTTGGGGAAGAAGGAGCGGGCGTTGGTGCTGGCGCGGGTGAGGACGCCGGGGTCCTTGGTTTCCCGGTAGAGGACCTGACCGCTGCCCCGCAGGTCCACGTTCGTGTAGAGCGGCGCGATGATCGGGTAGTCCAGCGGGAACTCGAGGTTGTAGAACGTCGGGATGTCCGTCAGGAACGACACCAGTCCGTTCGCGTTCACCTGCAACGTAACAAAATGTTAAACTCCATACTACAGATACAAATTTTTAGGAGCAGCCCAAGACAATGATAACAGTGGAAAAACAAGGATGAAAAAACGGGAAACAAGGCTAAAAATACACAATTATTGAAACCCGAGACGTTTCGACTCAAAACTGAGTCATTTTCAGTCGGAAACAATAAAAATTTAAAAGAAAAAACGATAAAAAACCTGAGCCCTACATGGTACATCCATACTACATCGAGGACGCGTTTGCCCTTTAAATTTGGACGCATGAGGACAAAAACATGGACTGCGTTAAGCAGAAATGAACCAAGCCACATCAGCTATCGCCAAAAATTGGGCCATTTAATTTTTTACATGAAAACAGTTTTTGTGTAAATTTTAGTGAATTTTCTGCATAGTGCGAAGCAAATCCCTTAAAATTTTTAAAGGAGTCCGCACTAACGTTCTCTTGTTAAAATTAAATTGCTCAGTTATGCCAATAGATGTAGCTTGGTTCCTTTCTGCTGAATCTGGGTGGATAGAATAAGGCTGATAGAAACTTCTGACTAAAGTCAGATTTCGAAGTCATACACGGAGAAAACTACTTCCGTTACAAGAACTGAACTTCATTTCATATGGAGCGTAGACATTTTTAGTATAGTTACCTCGACTGAAAACTTACAAAATGAAATATTTTTTTCTCCATGAATTAAGTTGGAATCATGTATTCAATGCAGAATTTTTCATTTAAAAAGCGTTTCAGCTCTTGGAAAGCAAACCCTAGCAATTCCCATTTTTTCTTAAAGAATGTGTAATATTCATCACACAATTTTAATGTCACATTTTCAAAAACAGTTCAAGCTCTTTACTTGCTCGTTATCCACTTACTATTTCTGGCCTTAGCTGAGGGACGGGGCTCCCTTCAGAAGGTCCGTGTGGTCTCCTCTACAAAAATCCTGATTCCACTCATGCTCATTATTCCTACTGCCACACCATGAATGTGAGTTGAGAAAAGCGCGCAAAACAAGCAACTATTTCAACTCCAAAGCTAACCACATTGCCTACTTAACTATTTGCAGGCGATTTTACTGCCGTTAAACATCTATTTGTTCATTCTCTCGCGGGCTTGGTCCTGATGCTGGCACATGATCCGCTGATAAGGCAACACAGCTGACTGGAGTCGTATCTTACAGTCGCATTGTTCCTTAAGATCGCACTTAATGGTCTTTTTTACTTTGAACTGTGGGTTCCCGCGGCTCTGGGATCGGTATGCACCAGGGTATTCGGTATCTGCCTTTCAAATGTGTTGATCGGTTTGAGTGGAGAATTGACTCCGACTGTGGGAATGCAAATTTTCCAACGTATTTGTATCGCTCACGGTTGCCAAACGTGTCAAGAAGTGGACCTCACTGATTTCTGATTTTTAAATATTTTTCAGCCCAACCGAGTGAGGAGTTAACCGACCGCGCAGGTGAATGTGCGTAAACTCAACAAAACTTAGCTTATGCAATCAAGTACAGATTATCAGCAAGATTCATAGAGAAAAAGAGATAAGAATTTTCGAGATATTGGAAAGACATTGGCAACGTGTGTTTTATGAAAATAACGGCAAAGGTACTTGAAAAAGGCATTTTTTACTGGAAAAACTGGGCCTCTTGCGCCGGCTAAAGCGAATTGGAAACAAGTTTGTAACAATTTGGAATAAGTTTGAGTGAGTTTTTAAACCAGTTTTTTCCCCCTCAGATTTTGGGGATAGAGAGTTGAACTTTCGGTTAGAGTTTATTACCGACTGAAATATTGGAGATGCATTGAAATTGTCTTTTTAAATATTTTTTACACCAATCTTTTAAAATTTTTTCGATCCGACTAAAATAGGGACGGGGTTAAAGGCAAAAAATTATAAAAAAACTGCACGGAAATAATTTGTATTGCTGATTTAACAATGTTGTGCTTACAAAAAAGGTCCGACATGTTTCAATGCAGATTTTACAGTTAAAAAAGTTACTTTGACCGTCCCCGCGTGGTTAAATTAGCTTTCCACTATTGAAAAATGTATACTTGAAACATGTCGGACATATTTTTTTAAATATTTACACTGAAAAAAGAATAGTATGCTTTTTTAGCACCTAGGATGTCAAAAATATGTCTGGTGATCCCAAAATGCTGCCTTTACTGCCCTCGCAGTTAACTTTACATTCTACGAATGCAAATTTAACTGCGTGGGCAATCAAGGTAGCATCTTATGATGATCAGCCACATTTTTGACATCCTAGGTGCCAAAATAGCATACCATTTTTTTCGGTGTAATTGCTAAATCAGAACTCTATTTTGTTCTGTGCACACCCAATTTCACACACATCCTCCATGAAAGCTGGCAACGAGGCCGAGAATGAAGATAAAGCTCGGACGCAAATGAGCGTTGTTCGGAAATGTCGCGAATTAAACGGTCAATTCCAGTAGCCTCCCGATCGTCGTCGGCGGGCGCGGAGCCGGCGCTTGCAAAGAGGAGCGATTAGCAGGCCGCCCGCCGCTCAGTTGATAAAACAATTGTTCACTTTCCAGCCCCCTGCCCCTGCCCAGCGCCCCCCCCCCCNCCCCCCCCCCCCGGGCTGTTTGATGCACCGCGGTGGGAGTTAAGTGTTTTACCATCGGGCTGCTAATTGTGCATCGCAACCTGAAAGCCGGCACTGATCTTAATCTCGCTTTACGTCTTGGGAAACCCATCGGTCCTTGCGGAGAACGATATCGGACCGGCCGATTACTTACAAGAGCTCTTAATTTTCGCGTCGGGGGTCTCATGGATAAGCCTGTCTTTATAAAGTGGACATATTTCTGCCAAACGGAACTGTGGACCAGTGCACTGGAAAAAAAAAAAAAACACATTGGATCTAGAGTCTAGACTCTTAAAAACATCGACAAGAAAAAGTACTCTTGATTCAATCAGAATCTAGCGTAAATCAAGAACCAAGCCTCTTAATTTAAGCGGATTTCGTTTTGATTCAAGCAAAAATCCGATTGAATCAAGAGTATTTTTTCCTGTCAATGTTTTCAAGAGTCTGGACTCTAGATCCAATGTGTTTTTTCTTTTCCAGTGTGGGAAAGATGGGTGTGCTCGTTGAAGCTACAGAAGAGGCAATATAAAAGTGGGTGTGATTCCCTTTGGAGAGATGGAAAAGTGGGATTTTACATTCTGTCAAACGTAACTACGTGCCGCAACTTATGAGCCATGTGCATCGGAAAAGAGCCTTTTGGACAGGGCTCATGAGTTAATACGACGGAAGTGCGACCGCGGCGGCAGCTTTGTCGCAGCCGACGTCACTGGCGCTTAAGAATCCCCTTCATTCTTATGGCCCTCGACTAACGAGCACACCTCTTCTTTCCCACCCATCTCTGGTTCCGTTTGGCAGAAATACGTCTAGTGTTCAATAAACCAAGTGTTGTTTCTTGGACAAGCAGTACCGAGTAAAACCCAAAATGGACGTTCGTGCTGAAAGGCTTCATGTGAAGATGAACTATATCTCAGGAGCTATCGACGGCAAACTTCCAAAGCACGTATCTCGTTTGCGGTGTGTGAAAATTTCCTCTCTAATTTTATTTTTTTAAGAAAGAACAATGAGCAAATCCACATAATTTCTTTACATTTTCCCAGAATTTGCTTCTCACAAAAAAGAAAACTCAAGGAAGTTTTTAAGAATTTACCTTTAGTAGTTCTCCATTTGAAAAATAAAGCATAACAGGAAGTTTGCAACGGCGCAAATCGAGAAACGTGGTTTGGAAGTTGAGATTCGCCGTCGCTATGTAGCGCGCAAACCCAATGCACATAGTTTCTCTCAATTTGCTTAATTTTGTAATGTTACTTGGATGGGTCTCTGTAGGGTGCCCTTGCTCCAAGACGAAGGGGAAGAGGATGAAAACACGAAACACAAAAATATAAGGGATGAACTCTGTACTTCAACGTGAGAAAAGTGGAGGAGCCAGCCGAGGCCTGGCCTCCAAGAGGTACAATCAAACTCTATACGCTGCTGAACTGTAACTGCTCAAAAACTAAACTAGTCCTGAAGAAATGATGAAGAGAAAGTCCTGATGGTTGAGGGTGACAAAGCCGGACTCCGCGCAGGGTGATTAGATAGAAAGAGCAGAGTCCGGTGATATGACGTAAGAAGAGAAAGCATGCGAATAGGTGGAATGTCCTGAGACCGGATATGAGGTATAAATGTAAGAGTGTAAGTGATGATGGAAGATAGGTATAGATAGATATAGGTATAGATAGATATAGGTATAGATAGATATAGGTATAGATAGATATAGGTATAGATAGGTATAGGTATAGATAGATATAGGCATGTTGGGGCACACAACAATTTTTACGTTGTTCCATTTCGCATTCATGCGAAATGTAATACATGTTTAAGAGCATTTTCGGCAATGAAGTTCATCCTTATGCAGGAGCTGAAATTATATTTAACAAATGCCACCCTTGCCATCTATAATTGGAAAGAACGCGTATCCTATAAAGCACTTTCATGAATTATATGTTATTTTTAAGAATCCCCTATGCTTAATGTTTTTTGTACATAACTAATGTCTATTTGTTAAGCTATAAATACTGACTTCCCTTGCATTTTATTTTCATAAACGCATTCCTCTACCAATTAAAACCCTTACAACGACCTCTGCACGAAACAAAATTCCTAAACCGCCACCGCCCGCGACGGAAACATAATTCAGGGAACTCCAAGAATGACAGGGCAAATTGAGTTACATGACCGCATGACTCACCGTTAGTGTTACAGCAAAGGTTAACAAACCGAGAGCGAGAGATTCGGATGAAAAAAATTTGAAACTTTTCCAAATTGCCGGTCGCCACAGCGACGCTGCATCTAACACGTGGTGAGCGTATTTTCGAGCTTCGGGTTTCTCGAAGTTTTTGTGCTGGACAGTCGCACTAGGAAAAATCTCTACCCCAATCAAAAGAAACTTCCGTTGCATATTCTCGCAAAAAAATTCCACATGGAAATCATTCCTAATTTACGATTTTTTTCACATTCAAGGGGGTGAGCGGAGGACGGAATTTGATTTGACTTAATTGGCACATTGATTCAACTAGTCCTGTCCTATATTTTTAACGATTTTTAGATTTTACAAGCGTGAGCGCGCCGCTCACGCTTGCCGCTTGTTGTGTTGTATTAGCGCCTATAAGACTGCAGGGATACTTCAAGCATTGCGCGTTAGGCGTAATGCGTGAAGTATCCCTGCAGTCCTATGTCAAATTGTATGCGCAACGCGTGAAGTATCCTTATAGTCATGTAGACGCCAATACGCACTTCGTGCTGGCATTGGCCACTCTGTGTTCGGCTCTATTATTCAAATTCGTTTCTCCACTCTTGATTTTGAAATGTTTGTGCTCTCTCTTTGAATTAAAGTTTTTAAGAGAGAAAATGATATTTATACGCTCGTTACTAGACGTCCTGATAAACAGGGCTATGTCCTAGTCGTTCGTAAAAGTAGAAGAATACCTTGATTAGGAGTTTTTTCCAAACTTTCTATCATGTGTAAGCAGCTTTCCACCAACTATTTTCAAGAGGGGACATGAAAGCGGCTCTTTCATTCATACCTTATTTACTAAACTTTATAACGGGTCGGAGTGATTTTTATTCATGCAGGTTTATCATCTGTAATAGATGGAGGATTGATAGATCGTTTGGGTGTCTACCCAAGGGACCGCGCACTGCCTACGATCCCGTTTTCGACGTAGCTGAGGTCGTTGATTCCCGATTCCCTTCATGCGCGCGATCACTTCCTAGTTGATCTGATGCAAATGCAGGAGCTTTTGTGTGGCTCTAACGGAGAGATAAGATAGGCGCCGGCGTCAACCCTGTTCTACCTCCCCCCTCACCCAGGAGCCCCAAACGCTGGACCAGTTTATAACAGCCTTGCGGTGCGGGGGAGGGGGCGGCTACATCAAAGCTAATTGCAGAATCAGCGTTGCCGATTGATATATGGACGTATTTCTATCAAATGGAACTATGTGCAGTAAGACATGAGCCCTGAGACCCATAAGAATGGGTGCATAACAGGGCTCATGCCATAATGCACATAGTTCCGTTTGATAGAAATACGTCCATATTACAGAGCATTAACCCTAGTAGTCTGGCAGACTCACTGACAGTGTCAGATCGTGGGACTCTAAACATGTGTCAGATGAGAACGCATCAGAAGTCGGAAAATCAGCGGGAAATGTCGGTAAAATGACCGGAAAGATTTTAAATTGCCGGGAAACAGTAGAACTATAAAAAAACATTTTGTCGATGGTTTTTTTTTTTTGTAACTGTAGTGCAAAGACTGGTAAATTCGAAGAGTAAAATTTTTACGAAGTGAGAATGTGACGAAGAAATCAACTAATGGTTTAAATTTTGATAATACGAGTGAGAAACGCGAAAGACGGATAACTTAGGGGCAAAATGCGCAACTGCTCACCACTACTCACTGTTCCTGCATGATGACATAAAGGTAGATGACAATTAGCCTTCATTTTACAGATAGACTACCAGCACAACGACCTCGTGCCCGCGTACACCTGAACACTCAGTAGCATTGTCACTTGAGGCATAACTTATATATCTCGAGTTGAGTGCCTAAAATACCAATTATATCCAATTCATATCAAACGAAAATCACGTTTAAAAGTAGACCAAACGCATTTAATCATGAGGGAAAAGGCATTCATCGTTCATCGGTTTATAAAGGACTGGAAAACTCTCGGCACTAGACAAGAACAAGATATGCACTAAAGCACTATGCCATATGTATGTTTCCTGCGCACATTTTTAAGTGGCATGCAATTCTTGTAATACATGTATGGAACATCAAATCCAAAGCGTGATATCAACAAGTACACGTAACACTGACCGGATGAAACACTAATCATACAAATGAGGTTATTTTTATTTCTGTCAACTACCAGCGACTCATTGTAAATACTTATATCTTCTTCAGAAGTTGATTCCCAAATTTTCAGCTGTAAGAATAATTTAAATAGAAAATTAAGAGAAAAAAAATTAACGTATACATAATGTTTTAGTTTGTGCCAAGAAAAAGAACCCTACCTTTACCCTTTATCCGGATAGTAATCGTGCGGGGTACCAAAAATATTTTGTCTTTTTGATCTATTTAGAAATACAATTTTTTCGAGACCCTGCACTAAAAATTTAAGGAATGCAATCGAGTGAACCAAAAATTAAGTTCGGAGATCAAAACTTTTCGTCTTGTGGTAAATGACGGGTAATTACTTGAGCAAAACTCAAATAAAATTCGCCTTACTATGATTTATGAAAGTCGAGGTGAGCACTTCTCTAGACGAGCTTCTATGATTCAGTTCATACTAAACCAATTTCTCAACTCTTTAGTTAAAAGACGAGATGTTGGAGTTTTTTTTTAGCCAACGTGCGTAAAAAATTCAGCTTAAAGCTGAAATCTCATTAGAGAGGGAAAAAGCTCACACACAAGCACAATTTTTAATGCACAAATTGCACAATTCGTAATGAGATTTCAGCTTTAAGCTGAATTTTTTACGCACGTTGGCTAAAAAAACTCCAACATCTCGTCTTTCGACCCGTGCGTTCACCGCAATTGGTTGGTCTTTGGTTAAAGGTCTGTTCGATCCCGATCGAACAAACTTAGAGCAATTTCAAGAAATTTCATCACACTCATTTTTTATCCCCCCCCCCTTCACTCTTGAGGGTTCTCTCAATTTTGCACCGATCGATCACCTGGCGCCTGCCCGCTGTATGAAGTAAACCGACGTCACTCATCCCGGTCCTCTGAAGTCCAGCTTGGCTCACTCCAGTAATCTCTGCGCAGTGATGAAAGGTATGCTACAAGCGCTGCCTCATCACTCTACGTACTAATATTCTTTCTCATTTCAGGTTCAATTCACTCTTCACCACAGGTGTATCGCCTGTCCTGCTTTTGGGCTATCCCAAAAACGTATGCTCCACTAATTGCATGCCACGTTCACTATTTTAGTGAAGGTTTCATGCAATTAGCGGACTTGCTTTAATACGCACCTTCTGTGCCTATTAGAACGTATTATTCAATTAGCTCATTTAATAATCCAAATTTCTCATTATCCCCATCTCAACCTAACCCCTAAATTGTGGAATTGGATCGCTCTCGTTTTCAATCTCCATCAATTTAGCGGCATGCTTTAATGCAAGTCTTCTATTTGCATTAGAACGTTGATTTCTTTCCCTCTTTCGGCCAATCATTCATATAAGTCACTTTTTCACCTATCAGCTCTTTTCTTCTCTGGTTTGCTTCTTTTTCCTCAAAATAAGCTGGTCCCTCGGTTTTAATTTATCCCCCCCCCTCTTTTCTGTTTCGCTCCTTTCTCATATCCAATTTTTTCTCCTCCCCTTCTTTTTTTCTAAGTTTATCCCCTCTATATCGCTCATAAAATTGGTCCCTCGGGCCGGATCTAGTTTCTGGCATAAAATCTCTAAATGCTCGAAACCGGAATAGAGTGCGAACAGTCCTTAGGATTATGTCCACTTAATTAACCTTGCACAACCTTTGCAAATCCTAGCGCAGCAGCAAAATATCGGTGCTGAACTAGGTCCTCAACCTTAGAAAATCCTGACGAAGCTCTATGACCGTAAAGCATACCAGGTTCTGAACCTTCGAAAAATCCTAGTACAGTTGCTGTTTCGTAATCAAACTAGGTATAATTCAGATTGACATTCCTGAAATAACGTTTGCTCTTTATCTCGAATTATTTAACCTCTCATTCATAACCTTTCATTTTTTCTTCCTTATTTGAAATGTCTTCCGACGACGAAAATAATGAGGCTCATCTGAACCATGATAATCATGATAACAATGACCAACATGATGATGGGCACCACAACGACAATACAAATGCAGCGGATTTGCAAGGGGTATCCATCGTTGCCAAATTGGCAAACCTCTGCAAACTCGCCCGGAACACACGCGATGCTTTTCGGCAGGTGCCGGACGAGGATGACATAGAAGCCTTCTCTCCTTCATACAAAAGGCTGGAAAAGTATTGCGAGCGTTTCGAAATACTAATGGATGAAGCAATCGAGTTTTCGGTCGCTCATCCTGATTCACCTTTAGAAGCAGATAGACTTCAAGTCGAGTTTGAGCGACTTACGCGGGAAGCTCAAACTGAATATCTCAAACGATCAAAGAAGAACGATACGTCTAAACAACAAGATGCCTCTGGTTTTCAGACGATGATCAATCAAACAATGTTAAACACCGCCTTCAGCGGTTTTAACCCAAAAATTCGCTTGCCAAAATTAGAGTTAACCCATTTTTCAGGTCAAATTGAAAATTGGCGAACATATTACAATTTATTCCTGGCATCTGTGCACAATTCTCCTCATCTAAAAGAAGTTGAAAAATTTCAATACCTTTTAAGTAGCTTGCGCGGTGAAGCCCTCGATCTAATTAAGAGCCTTGATATAACCACCGAAAATTACGAGGTAGCTTGGAATCTCCTTTGCAAAAGGTACCAGTCCACCAGGAGGCATATTTTCTTTCATTTTGCAGGGTTGCTAGATCTCCCGGAAATTAAAGAAAATAAGCAAGTACATTCTTTGCTCGCCAAAGTACGAGAGCATACTCAGGCTCTTAATGCCTTGGGTCACGCTACAGCCACTTTCGACGGCGTGCTTGTCACAATTCTTTCCAGAAAAATATCACCAAAGCTGTGGCGACGATTAGAGGACCACCGAGGCAGCAACAAGGAATATCCGAAATTGGAGGAAATTATTTCCTTCCTGGAGAAAGAGGCCGCATACGCTGATGATCTGGTAACATCCAGAAAGGAGAATAAAGATGCGCAATCAAATTCAAATAAAAATACTCCGAATAATTCGGCAAATAAAAATTCAACTAAGGCTCTAGTCACCACCACAAAGGACGACAAGTCTGAGAACTCTTCTGGACAAAATCAGCGCAGTCCTGCCCCTTGTATACTGTGCTCAGAGCCTCACCCGATTTATAGATGCTTAAAATTTAGAGATATGCCATTTGTTCAAAGGCTCGAGCTTGTAAAAGCCCGTAAACTTTGTGAGCGCTGTCTCAGTAGCATGCATATGACTGAGAAATGCAGTAAAGATTTTCGCTGCATTGCTTGTAACGAGCCGCACAATACATGGTTACACCCCCCTCCACCTACCCCGACTACTGCCGAAAAACCGAAAAATTCGGTAACCATGGTCGGCGAAACCTCCCGACCCGATACGGTGATCCTATTGGCCACTGTTCAGGTCGAAGTTTCCTCTTCGAAGAAAGCAACAATGCTAAGAGGCATCCTTGATTTAGGATCACAAACAACGATAATTGTGACCAAATGCGCTCGTGCCCTTCAATGCAGCATTGATCCTAACCTTAATCCGGTGAACGGGATATCTGGCTATCCTGTTCCGATTCGCGGCATCACCAAAATCAACCTCAAGCACCACGGTAAAATATTGATTCGAGATCAGTTTGTAACCGTCATCGACAAAATTTCCAGCCCGACTCCATCCATGCCAATTTCACCGGAAGTCCGTTACCGTCTTGCGGGCTATCCTTTGGCGGATCCTGATTTTGACAAGGTGAATGCACCTGTTGAAATTTTAATAGGTCTTGATATTTTACCGCAACTTTTGTGCGGCGAAACAATCTCTCTCGGTCCCGGTTTTCCTACTGCCCTGAAAACAAAATTGGGATACGCCGTGATGGGAATAGCTCCGGCCGCAGAGCCTTCTCAAGTTCTAATCTCGACTATCAACCATCAAAAAATTCACGCTCCGCATCGATGCCCTCTGTGCTTGAAAAATCATGGAGTCAATCGTTGCTTACAATTTCGTAAAATCCAACGCAACCGAAAATTTTCAATGATGCAATCTCAAGGATTGTGCGTAAGCCGCCTGAGTGATAATCACGAAAAATCCGAGTACAATTTGGCAACCTCATGCAAAATCTATAATCAGGATCACAACACTTTGCTTCGTGATCACCCGATATTTGGAGTCTCGTCTTCCGTATCGGCAACGGCGCACCTTATCAAAGAACTTGAAACCGAACACCGTGATCTTCACGGCTGCTCAGTGGAAGAATCCTATGCCTATGCGAACACAGCCGCCGCTGTTTTAGTGCCCGTTAAAAATGCGCTTACTTGGCAAAACCGACTCGAAAACTTTTATAATCATAAAGTCTCACAACTGAAACAGTGGATTAGCAGCGCATCCCAGTTCCTCACTGGCGTAGCGCCTGCAAAACGAGAAATACCTCCCTCATTGCAAAAAGACGAGAGTACCACGTTTACGGTCCTTGGCATACAGTGGCCGCTCTCAGAGGAAAAAAAACACCGAAATTGAGACTTAAAAATCCAATTTCAGTCTCGGTCCATTTCGATAAAATATAAATTCTTCTCGTCAATCACTCGAAATTTTCATATTTAGAGAATCATCTGACAAAACAACCTTTGTATTTTTATTTTTTCCTTGGCTTCGACTTCACGTTTGCCAAACCGTCTATCCCATATTCAGTTTTATTTTTTACTTTGTAAGGCTCCAAGCAGCCACATTATCTTTAATTTCTTAGTTTTATTTTTCTCATTATTAATTTTTATCCCTTTCTTCGGCTCATCGCAAGCCAAGAATTTTCTCTCAGCACCTGCTGACAACTTTTCTTTAGCGGACTTACCCCGGCTCTTACCGCGGCCAACCAACCTCTTAGCGGACTTACCCCGGCTCTTACCGCGGCCAACCAACCTCTTAGCGGACTTACCCCGGCTCTTACCGCGGCCAACCAACCTCTTAGCGGACTTACCCCGGCTCTTAC